AAAAAGATTTTCATAACATCTACTAGTATGTTCCTGTGGCCCACAAACTCCCTTGAAAAAATATGATGCAAGCTTGCACTGTTTTCTCCTTCAAAAAGACTACTCATAATGTGAAACTGTATTAAGAGACCACAAATGTTAAACACTCTACATTTGCATTTGTCTCTCTGACACTATTACAGGTTTCTCCTTAAAAAGATAAAGTTGAAATTACCACATCAGCCTGTATCATTTTGATATTCAAAAAAAAAAAAAAAAAAAAAACAATCCTAAAAGTTAAGAGACACTTTAAAATGCTGCAGATAGAGTCCAGGATCCAGCAACAGAGCTTTTTAATTACAGGAGGGTTGTTTAGTGTTGTAAGTGATATGCTTCAATTGAAAAAGCTTTTTGATCTGATAAGGTATGTATGGGGGGGCGGGAAATCAGATTTCACATTGTAATATTGATACAATTTTGCATGATTTATTCAAAGAAAAAAACATTCACATTTTTGCGCGCGCGCGTGCGTGCATGCGTAAAAACCAAAATTACCCCACAAAGCAGTGTAATGCACACGGGCACAGCTTCGTAGTGCTGCGAGCCATTAGAACGCTACAGCCCTGTGAACTCAATGGTAACATTAACTCAAAGCTGCTGCTTACCTCTGATTTGGGAACCTTTCCACCTAAACCATTCTATAATAAAATCTAATTTTTGTTATAAGTGATGGCATTATTTACGTTCTGTGTTTGGTTTTGGATGAACGCTGTCCTTTGGTCATGAAAGCCAATGAACTACAGCAGCAGTTAATGCTTTCAACTCCTTCCCACCCCTCCCCAAACTCATTCTCCCACACTATCCCCTACCCTTTGTAAGACGGGTAGTGAGGTGATGCAGTGCGTCTGGTAGCTTCAGAAAGAGCTTCTGTCTGGAGTTATATGAGGAAGTTTTGCAGAGTGGCACGCTATCACTAGAGATATAGTCATTCCATGTGGGCTGAATTCAAACTGAGATCTCTGAAACTAAAAAGACAGAGCAACACAGCCTCCGTAGAGCCCTGCGAACTGCACGCACGTTCGAATAGAGCCTCGCAATGAAGGGAAGCGTACGTTTTATTAACAAACAGTATGGCAAATCACAATTTCTTTTAAGATCAATTCATACCTCCTTAGGAGAACTGTAATTGGGGATGCCTTGATGTTTTACTGTGTGACTGGTTTAGCATGATGCCTGAGTCACCATACTAGCCTTCATTTAAACTGGAATGTGCATTTTGCAGTCAATATAAAAAACACCATCACAATCATACTCTACTGAATGGGATGTAGGGTTCACAAATATCCAAAACACTGACAGTCAGGATATGTTATAAATTATTTCTCTTTCTACCAGTCCAATTTTGAGCTACCCAGAATTTCAATTCTTTTGCTGGATATATCTATTCTGCTCATTCCTACAGATTGCAGTGAGATGACAAAAAAAGCAACTTAAGAATAAGAGGAGGAGGAAAGTATTAGCGTATGCTAGATAGAACACCCTTTTGTTACATGGCTATGTACAAAAGGATTTATAAAAGAGGATTTTACAGAGAGAGTCCAGTAGATTACTGAAATTACTGCTTTCTTAAATGCAATGCCCAATGACCTTACTTGTTGGTATGTAGCAATGTAAAAAGTAAACTAGGTAAGTAAAGCTTTGTTCATAGAATCTGTATTGAATTTTACTTTTATCTTGCAAATTATCCATAAATCATATTTTACTAGCAAAAGATGAAATGCCGCTACCTTCTATAAATGTACATATATGCATGCATATGTGTAGTCATTAAAGGGTTAGGCATGTATGAGACTGAAGAACCGTTACCCTTGGCTGCAAGTAATGCCTAGTCTTCACAGGGCAGAAATCATCTTACCCAAATCTTTACAACAGATGACTGTTTAAATACAGGGGGCTACAAAGAAAATATTAAGGAGGGGATCTAGGTAATGACTGGAGGTGCATTTGGTATCATAGGTTTAACTGTGTGTTTTTTAAAAGCTCTGTTTTACTGCTTATTACCAAACCATTTCATGTTAGATCTGTTCTGGGCTGGGGGAAAAGGGATACAGATGATCAGAGAAATTACTTTAAGGTTCTACAAAAAAATCAAGTTATTATTACATCAAGAACTCCCCCTTATAGCCATTAATTTGGTTAGTTCCCAGACCTCTCATCATCATGCTTAGCACTTACAAATACCCTTTTCCAGAGTTTAATATTCATTATCGATTTGTCAGTGCATCATTATCATCATGTGGTTCACCCAAATGGCAAAAAGAGAGACTTGCGTTACATACCATATTCAAATATTAACACTTTTAAAAATATTTATTTTCATACTCAAAACATATTAACAACCCCTTCAGAAATCTAGCCTGCTAGTGACTCTGATGTGGGCTCAGGATCTAGAGTGAAATAATAAAAGCAGTTTCAACGTGTGCTTTTTTAGAACAATCAATAGGCAAAAGTGGACAGTGCTTTTAGAAAATATACTACAAATTCTGCATAACTGGCCCGAAGAAGTTAGACATCTGCTTCTAAATATTTATGAGCCATTTCCTAAGTGAAACGAAAGGTGCTTTGGAATACTGATCTCTAGCGTTGCACCTACAGATCTACAGCATACACACAAATGCATAATAAATACTGCTGTGTGTGTATGTCTACCTGTACAATATTTTCAGTGGGTATCCAATACCCAGCATAATACAATAGGTATTTCAATAGCCCTACATTAAATTCAATGCACACTGAAGTGCTCTATATTTTAGTGTTTCAGCAGAGGTTTTCACTAAAGCAATCCTTTCACTTGCAATACTACTGTACAAATGTACTCAAATGATGAAAAATGTTGTGATGCACACAAAATTACTACTGTACCTGATTTGATCAGAGCACTCTAACAGAGAGCAAATAATGCAGGGTTTGTTTGTTTGTTTGTTTCTCCTTTTCCTCCTCTTTTTTAATGCCTTTACTTTTTTCTCTGCTGTCAGAAATTTTTAATTTCTATGGTTTGGTCTAGGGATTCCCATGTAAGTATGCAATTTTATTTGGAAAAAAAAAGAAAGACCCACAACAATGAATATTTTAAAGCAATATAATCAATATTTCTCCTTTGGGTAGATTTCCCTGCAACAGTGAACAGAAAGATCTCCTTCAGATTTGGAAACTCAGCTTTAAAGCGAAAGCTAGACAACAAAAAGCAAGAAAGTACTCACCTCTTCACGTAATTTTATCAACTGCAACATGAACGCACAAAAAAGATAAAAAGGAAAGAAATGGCAGGAAAGAAAGATCAGTTGTGTGACAGGATACAGAATTAACATTGACAATTTATCTGTTTACATGTTTAGCATTTAAAAATCACAGACAAACACATTAAAAGAACCTAAACATAGACTACATGCAGAGTTTTTTGAACGAATAAAGATCACTTTCTCACACTGTCACATTAAACAAAGAGAATAGTGTGAAATTCTCTTTTAAACCACATCTAAGACACCATCATGAAATAAAGGGGAATGACTTCATAGAAGTCTATATTATAAAGAAAAAAAAACAAGTTTACTATTCCTCTCTTCTAAGATTGTACGGCTGAAGTGGTTTTGTATATACAAGTTTCCAGGACGTTTCCTGTATATTTTAGTTCTGACAACTGATTTATTATTTTACTAACAGATCTGACTTATTAATAGGTAACACTATCTCTATAGCCTATCTTGCTTATATTGCAAGTGTGTTATCTATTTATTATTGAACCTGATATAGCAGCTCCTTTTCTGTTAAAAAAAAAAGAACCAATTTGTGGTTTTGTGCTAAATCACAAATGCTAAATCATTGTGCAGTATTTTTAAATCACTCACAGTAGAAATATGGACCGGTATAAAACATGACTTCTTAAAAAGAGTCTACTGTTCATTTCCACTGCAATTCTGCAGCACTAAATGTTGTAAACTTTTACATAAAATAAGATTGTAAAACTGTTCATTTTACTGCAGTTTGCCCTTCTTAACACTATTAATTACGTTGTACTTGCAGGATTATTTGTGAAACATTAATATAGCTAGTTTGAACGTATATGTTGCAACATGCTCTGCATTTAGAGAAGTACATTAGTTACTGGGACAGAAAAATACAATTACTCACAACAAATGTATGCATAGGCGTGTCTCTTTATTTAATAAAAAAGAGAGTTTTCTCACCAATTCCAGCTGAATTTGACAATTACATCATCTACATAATTGTCTTTGTTTATAAAACTGCAAACTCTACTATTGCACAAAGGTATTTTTCAACATGTGTACAGGATGAGATGTTTACCAATATTAAGATTGCCCAGCAAGAGACAGAATAACAGAATTTCTATTAGTACTTTTATGTCTCTTAGGGTCATTCGAGACCTAAAAGCTATTACACCTTATCCTCGCACCAAAAGACAAGAGACGGTAGAATTCGAACTTGATATTAGTCGGATGGCAGTAACTTAAAATGAAACAGTTCCCATAGTATGTTAGTTAAAGGAACCTTCTAAGAATTTGGTATAAAGAAAACCATGCTCTTTACCCACCAAACCAGTTCTTAAATTCAAGTACTTGGCCTATCATAAATCGGACTCTCTCTCTCTCGATCTTCACCCCCCCTTTTTTCCCTGAAAAGGCAAACAGTAAGTCTCTTTAGAAAAAAGACGATCTGGGAGTTGATCACATAGCTATCTTTTCTTTCTGAGGTCACCTTCTTCAGTTGACTATGATACTTAAAGGGCCAAAGTTTAAAACTACTCTCCTGCAACAGAAACCATTTGGGGCATGCCACCCTGCTATAATCAATGAGAGTTTTAAAATGCTGCACATTTGTTTTTTCAATAGGTCCCAAACAAAAATGTTCTATCTTGTTTGTGCTGCATGGCTGAATTTAAGCTCTGCATAGGATTTGCAGCTAAGCTAGGTAATGGGAGATTTTTTTTTTTTTTTTTTTTTTTT